ACATTTTAATCTAATTGGTGCATGTTTCGCGACAAGCACGTGTATACCAGCACAATAATTAAAAAAAGGGACGAATGACTCCCCAATTATGCTTGCGGCAATTTATTTGCATTGGTACGGCTCATACGAAACTTACCACAGATATTTTGTCTATCTTCAAAGTAAATTAGGAATGGACATTGATGGGACTCAATTGCGACTTGTCATTGGGTCCGACGAAGAGGCGGCACTGACAAAAGATATAAAGCAGTGTTTCCCATCTTCGATTCAATTATACTCTGCACAAGACATTTGCAGGAAAACGTCCGCCGTTACTTATCCCATAAAGTTGAAGCAAACGACAAGACGAAAAACAAGATCATGAAAGAAATTTTTGGAAAAAACAGCCTAACCACGTGCGATGATGTTAAAAACTTTTAATTAAAATATTTAGAACTTTTGGACAAGTATTCAACACGTGCTCTTACATTCAAAGGATATTTTGAGAAAATCTGCGAAAAAATTCAGACGGGAATCATGGAACCAAGAGTATCTCATAGATGGATTCCTTTTGATTAGAAAAACAATTTGTGTGAGGCAATAAACCATGTCATCAAACTATCTGCCAACTGGAAAACCATGAAATTGCCTGACTTGGTTGACAGACTGCATAAAATTGTTATGTTGCAAGAGGCAAATTGCAGAAGAACATTGCATGGCCAAGGTAACTACGAGTTAACACCCTGGATGGTCAAACTACAGGTTCAGCATGTACAATGGACGCAAAAAAAAAACAGAAGAAGAGAAAGAAAAAATATTTAAAATATTTCAAAAAGGTCTACCAGCAAAGAAAAACATGATATCATCGCAATGGACAAGCACCTCTGAGAATTGAAAATAGCTCTTAATCCTTCATTTAAAATGCTAAAAGTAATTTTAGCCGAACTATGGTGCAAACTTGAACAATATTAATATTCTTGCATATTTAAGTGGTTGCGTTTTTTTTTAGACACCCTGTATATACACTATATAGCTCTAATACTCCTTTAACTATAACTATATGAAATAACTAGGTTACCTACAGATAGTGAATGCTGCCTTTATTGCATCTTGTATATCTGTAAACACGCGCTTGAGCAAGCCTAGTCATGATCATGCAGGATTGAATTGTAGAAAGAAGTACTTAATTGGGTAATCGCCAAATCGGGTTGGATAACAGCCTTGGAGAATGAAGTATTCACTGTTCACCGTTTATGAGGAATTTTATGTATACATTGTTCTCTTTGTTTGGGCCTAAGTTTTTGCTGAATAGATTTCATGAACGAAGATGAAGCATGTGCAAGTTCGCCAGCTGTTTTATTTTGAATGCACGTGATCATAATAGTAACACGGTTGTTGTGTTACTGAAATCTAGTTATTTAAAAAAGATAACGTAGTTGTAAACTCTTCACATGGGACTTGAAAACTTGGCTAATTGTTTGAGATTGTCTAACGTTTCGCTAGGAGTTGTAAATGTACAACATCAATTAGGCCCGTTTCAGACGACGAACTTTCCATGTGCCGAACCTACTGATGCAAATTAGCTAAATTCATTGTTTCGCAGATTATTAATCGAGACTGCAGTTAAGCAAACATGATCATGTGCGGTTGATCGCAAATATATCTCTGAATAACAACGTGCTCATGCCTTTCGCAGAGCCAGCAGAGGCTAGGCGATCTAAAGAACAATTACTTGATGATGCCATTTTTGTTTTAACAGAATTTTTGATATCATTCTGTTCTACTCTCTCAAGTTGGTATTATTAAGCACGGTTCCTGTCAGTAAAAGATAATTTTTTGTAAAATCTTTTGTAAACTGCAACTGACCAGATAAAACAAACATTTTGAAGTCAATTCACGATATCAAAATATATAGAACACTTCAAAAACACAGTGTCAGTGAAAAAAGCAAGAGGCATGTATAAAAATACACACCAAAAAACGAGGCATGTAAAATACACACCAAATAAGTTTATAAAACAAACCAGCAGCATATATATCAATACACATGCAGGAATATGAAAAATGCTGAAATATTTTAATTAAATATAAAACAAGTGTATTTGAAGCTATATGTAAGTCCAAAGTCTAAATTCGGCAGGTGAAATGGGAGGTGAATCAATGTCAATGCTATATAGTGGACTTAGTGGTTCAAAGTCTAAGAGTTCAAGTCCAAAGGGCAAAGATCAACACACACGCAAATATATAAATTAAATAGAAATTATCATTTATCAATAATGATGAACATTAATAAATATAAGTTGATTGAGTGCTCTGTTTTTCAAATATATAACGCTATCCATAAAAAGCCAACACGCGTTATCCTAAATTCGGCAAGTCAAATCGAAGCTGTATATTATAATTAATCCTGTACAAATGTCAATGGTATTATTGGTATATACTGTATGTATCCGAGGGGCAAAGAACGGCACACACACAAAGACTGAATAGAAAATATCAATTATCATTCACCAATAACAATAAATATCGATAAATTTGAGTTGACTGAGTGCCCTGTCTTTCAAATATTTAATGCTTTGCATATAAAGAAGCCAACACTGGCAACAGGTGTTATAAAATTCAAAGTTCCGGGGCAAAGAGCACGCACAAATATGTAAATTTAATAGCGAATAATTATGAATGGCAATGCGCATAAATGTCAATAAATATAAGCTAACTGTCTTTCAAATATACAACGCTTTGTTGTTTGAATGTTCTTTGTTAAGGCCAAACCACCAAAAGCGCAGCAAATACAGCGAGTGAAATCGGAAGTGGTAAAATATCTATACATCTATAAAATTTTACAAAAAATTATCTTTTACTGACAGCAACTTACCGTGCCTAATACCAACTTGAGGAGAGTAGAACATACCCCTACTAACCGAATTTGAGGTCCGTACTAAAAAAATATCAGACCGAGGTCTTGACAGTACGGACTGAGCGATAGCGAGGTCCGTACATAAAAGACCGAGGTCTGATATTTTTCCAGTACGGACCGAACGTATTCGGTTAATAAGGGATTTATTATATGGCATACAGTTTACTATTTATTTATACAATGCGCTGCAGCATTTTAGCCGGCTCTTTCGCCAGCAAGTCGCGAAGCAAGCACTGAAGTGGCTTCCAAAACTTTGTTTTTTACTCGTTAAATAAGAATGATACAGTAATATAAACAAAAATCAAAGATGAAATATAATATCCACATGTACCAAATAATGCACTTCTTTGTCAACTCTCCGTCGATATTTTTCGTGTCAAAAATAAAAGTGCAAGCTTGTTTTTGTTCAGAAATATGAGAGTTGGACCGTTGGGGGATTCCAGACCGGCAAAGAACCAATCAGCGCACGCCCTTTAGTCACAAGACCGCGTGCCATATAATAAAGAATGATATCAAAAACTCTGTTAAAACAAAAATTGCATCATCAAGTAATTGTTCTTTATATCGCCTAGCCTTAGCCTGCAACGCAGACTATATATAATATACCCCAATATATAGTCTGCGTTGCAGGCTAGCCTAGCCTCTGCTTGCTGGCTCTGCGAAAGGCATGAGCACGTTGTTATTCAGAGATATGTTTGCGATCAACGGCACATGATCATGTTTGCTTACCTGCAGTCTCGATTAATGATCTGCGAATGTAATAATCAGCGATGAAATGAGGGTAAAAAAGCTAAGAAACTGGCCATCACAAAATTCTTTAACTGCTCATCAGAATGCCCAATGGGAGGCAAGCACATGGGAGGAAACAATATAATATATAAACTTGATTCACAGATAGCATTTGCGGCATGAATAACATGATATTTTATACATGTACAGTCTGGCGTGGTTTGGTGTGTGCATTTTTGTATAATCCACAATTCCTGTACATTTTTATGTATATTTAAGGCTGTTAAAAACATCTCAAATATCATGTTTCACATAGCTTCCTGCGTGGGCGGCATTTCAGCAGTGTTCGTTGCTGGGGCTGGTTGAAAATCACTTTTAACATTGTTTTTGTTGAAAAAAAGAGTCAAAAATCCTCAAAAGTGATCACACATAGATTTATTCACCCTTGCGTACTCCGAGCGCTCTCAGCTGCTCCCGGGCACTCTCGGGCGCTCCCGGGCGGTATTTAGTGGGACCGGTTAATTACATTATTTTAGCCGCAGACGCAGTGAGACATTCAAAGTTGTTTTTGATCAATCTATATATTAGGGCTATTTATACGAGCGAAAATAAATCGCGGCGGGCCTAAATAAACCGCGGCTAATTTAAGTCGCGGCGACCAAATCCTAAATTAAACATTTGAGTTCAGCATCAATTTACATTGCAAAAACTGTCTTGGCGGCCGGGACTTGTGACAGCGAATTTGAGTCGTTTATACGAGTGTTTGCATGCGACCAATTTGGAATAATATAAACGCGCTATTCACGACTTATTTAAGCCGCGGCTTATTTTCTCTCAAAATAAACGGCTTATTTTCGCTCGAATAAACAGCCCTATTGAACGCAAAAATGTTCATTACTTAATACTTTGATGTAAGTCAGCCGTTTGGAGAGGCCTATGTAAAAAATTTTCTTCCGATTTCTATCAACATATGGGTGAAATATTAAAAATGCAGCGCTCCCCCACATCCCATAACCCCCCCCCCCGGAAATCTGTGATAGACAGAACAGACACAAATCGAGATTTGGACTATATATACGTCCAGGGAAGCCGAGGTACGTCAAGAATAGTGTGCTGCGGTGCTGATGCTGTTCATTTATAATGTTATGCGTTGTGAATATTTCAAAAATAAATTATGGTTATACCATACCCGTAAAGGCTACGTTCAGCTTATAAAATTCCAGACTGCCAGGCAATTAGCATTTTGAATACACTTCCCGGTCATGTAGACACAGGGTACATATTCAAAGCTCAATTACTCGATATTATGACAAGTTAACAGTGACTACCTTGACCAGCCAAGCTGGCAAGTGTTTTGTTTTAGAGTTGCACTTACTTTTGCTGTGCTATAAATGGTGTTCATTTCAGCTGCTAGTGCCTCCTTTTGTTTGAGTTCGGTCGCGTTCTTTAATTGAGTAGAAAATGTGATAAGCTTTAACTGGCGTGCCGTATCCTCTTCCAGTTGACTGATATTAAACTGCGATGCTTTTTTACGCATAGAGGTCTCAAATGCTGCAAATTCTAAACTTGTGTTGATCGTAACTTCCCGATTGTGCTTCGTTATGTTGGTTGCCTCGTTCCACAAAGCTGTGAACCTTTTGTTATTCCATTGCAGTATTGAAGCGTTGTAATACTCGAGGAAAGCCTCGGCTTTTGTCTGCTCAGCTTGATTAATAGCTGCTCCGGCTCCAGAATTGTAAAGAACCGAAAGATATAAGGTAATAGTTACCACCAAGCTTGTCACTTTTTTTTGCTTTGTTGCGTATTAATCACACAGTGCCTGGCAGCTGTCTTCCATCTGAGTGGCGGCATTGCGGAAATTGATTTCTGTATAAATATTTAAATATTATATGTCTTTATTACTTGTCGGGTTATCAGCTTTGTGATAGGCCAATCATTGCGTTCGACGAAGGAGAACGCTTCCTAGCCGTGTCATATCGAGATTTGCCATGTCAGATTTGCCTCGTTCTGATGTGTCGTCATAGTAACTGGAGACCATGTGCTCGCTCTATTTTGACATTTTTACTCATTTTGCGGGTAACCTTTTGAATCACATACGCTGTGAGCCTGTGACGTTTAATGTTAACATTTTTGTTAATGATCGTTAACCGAAATCAACACATTCCGAACGCAAATCACTAATCTGTGATTACTGCTAGTATGAATTTGATTATTTTACTACACTTAGCCACCGGCACCGATTTCCTCCAAGCCGAATTTCCGTCAATGCCAGCTTGTTACTGCATGGGCATGAATTTGGTAATTACGAAAAGACTCTAATTACGAAACATCCTACACGAGTTTGGGATATTTTGGGGTAAAATTTGCCCTAGCCAGTTTATTCAAAATATTCGCTAGCAAACATCGAGATATACTATTGCTTGAGTCAGGATTCAAGGCAGGACTCGAGCCAGGACTCGAGTCAAGGACTCGAGTCAAGGACTCGAGTCAATCAACCTTTCTCACGCAATGCGACCAATCCGCCATATTTGGATGACATATAGTTGATTTTTTAATAAATCATTTTATGAAATAAAAATTTGGGGGTAACATAACTCGTAACCAACAGGTAATTGCTGTCCAAAATATCGGATGCAAATCGTTAATTTTCATTTCTGACCATGGCATGGAGAATAAAAACACATTGTGTTTCTATTATCCATTGTTTTAACTTTCAAATCTTTACGATTTAATGGTGCATGCACCGTAATGGTAAAAGAATTAGCCTTTCTAACGCTATGCGACCAATACAATGTTGCTGACTAACTAGAAGTTTTGCAAAGTTCTGTTTTTGAATTCATTTAGCGATTTAAAAATTGTGGACTCAAAAAATGGTATCATAAATAATCACATTTAACGAATTCGGAAAAATTCGAGTCTACTTAAAACCTGCCGCACACGAGAGCAACTAGCCGAGCTAATAATCACTCGTGGCTGTTGGCGTAAGCAAATTTTTCTCTTGTGCGGACAAATTTTAAGCGCTTTTGTTCATTCGTGGCACTTTATTCTGGAACGAATGAACAAAAGCGCTTAAAATTTGTCCGCACACGGGAAGAACCATTAAACTGGGAAGAACCCGCTTACGCCAACAGGCACGCGGGAAAGACGGCAATAGAAGTTTCCATCAGCAAGACGTAGATGAGTCATTAAATCGGAGCTTGTCGGCTCGAGTCCTTGGCTCGAGTCCTGACTCGAGTCCTGGCTCGAGTCCTGACTTGAGTCCTGACTTGAATCCTGCCTCGATATTTAGGTACCCTCGCAAACATCTTATTTATGCAAAGTTGAGTGAGTTAGCGCAGACATGCATGCTTTCATTGAAGGCGTATTCAAAATTCATCACTGTCAAGACGACAGGTAAATAATTCATCGTTGTATAAATCACTTTTCAATTTTTATCGCAGATGCATAATCAGCTGAATGTAGGCTTTTGCTTGAGCGGCATGTTAAAATATTTCGAAATAGCAGGGAGATCAGAGTATCACACTAATTGCGCTGTACCAGTGGCGTAGCCAGCCTGACACTTTGTCCCGCTATGTAAATTTCGAGTCATTATAAGTCCCAAAAAAAAGCAACCACTTAAATATGCAGAACATTAATACAGCTCTAAAGCGCAATAGATAAGTACCTCTGGGAATTGAAAATGGCTCTTAATCCTTCATTTACAATGCTAAAAGTCATTTTAGCTGAACTATGGTGCAAACCCGAACAATATTAATATTCTTGCATATTTAAGTGGTTGCGTTTTAGACGGAGAATTGAACAGTCACAATATCAGAATCCGTGCTGAAATTCGCACCAAGTAACATCCAGAATGCTGTCACGGATATTCAGGAATGGTTTGAGGCAAATCACTACCGCTTCACCAGAAAAATGTAAAGAACTGCATATTGATTTTAAAAAAATCAGGAGTTCATTCTTCCCAATTGAAGTCAGTGATGAGATTGCATGAACGTGTCCAAAAACGAGCTCTTCGAATTGTTTACCCGTCCGCTCATTATAAGGATGGATTGATCGAAAGTGGGTTGGAAACATTAAACGCACGAAGGGAATCTGAATGTAAGAAACTTTAACCAGATCTTAGCCGATCCAAGACACAATTTGAACGAGTTGGTGTGTAGATCGGAACCTCCATTATCGTACGAGTTGCGTACGTAGAAACATTCTTATATTCCCAAATATTCAAGAAAAAATTGCGTATAAGACCACCTAAGTTCACGTCTGGATTCTGACGATCATTTGGGCGGGTTGATTGTAAATTATGAGTTAATTTACGTCATTTTGTGTACTAGAAAAATTCGCCTTGACAATTCTTTTTCGTTTGTTTATTTCATTTTTATGTGCAGTCATAGTCCCTTAAAGATCAAGTTATTGTCGTTCGGGAATTAAAGCGCTCGAAGAATCGAAATAGGTCTACTACCATGCAGCCTTTACAAACTCAACCAGGGCATTTGAAACATGAGCCATTCAGCCCTGGTCTTAAAATAATTCTGACGTGTCATAACACAGCCCGGACTGAAACTTGCCATGTAATCGAAAAATACTTTGGCCCCGGTTTGCCGGGCAGAAACTCAGCCCGGGCTGAAAAGACGCCATGGAATCAGCCCCTTAGTGCACTAGCGTTGGATCCACCCCTGTCTGTAATGGACTTGGTAGGTAAATTCTTTGAAAAAAACTTTTCGATGATTTTTAGTTCCAATTTGGCGGATACGTTATAAGTGCATGTTCTCGCTAATTTACCTCAGTAGTCAGTACATACCTTTTTGAAACCCCATGGAATGTAATATGAAAAGATCACTCCTTATAGATGTCATATAATTCAATTTTTTTGGAATACAGTATTATCGATACTATTAGAATTCTCTAAAAATCACATCTTTCCACTCTTTGCTTAGAATCTAGTTTGGTAAAATTAATTTTGCATGTTTTAATTGAGACTATTTGTCTATATGAATATACGAGTTACATGGAAACAACGAATTGAAGTAACGAGGCCACGAAAAGCAAAATGGCAGATGAGTATTTTCCGTTAACATTCTTTACCCCCGCGCTTGTTGTTTCGCAATCTTGGACGCCATCAGCTGATTGCCCCGGCCAGCCAACCTTGTATTTCTTGTCGCATCTTTCTTTCACCAGCCACTTTCGCAGTGGTTCAAAATATTCTTTGATTGGCGCCACGGACATATTTTTACTTCCAGTCATCTTCTCTAAAGCAATTGGCCATGGTTTACTCTTACCCAGCTCAAGCATAGCACTAAAAACAAAATAAAGCCTCAGAAATTTCCTCAGCCGTATGGACTAGAAAATATTAGTAACTTACACACCAGGGGGGGCGAAAGCAAATTTTTTTTAAAGGACACAACAGAATAACTAAATGGGGGGGGGTTCCATTACTTATTGACAGAAATACACTATTTTCTATTGTTTGCGTACAGAAAAGTCAGCATACGCCTTTAGATCCACTGACATGCATGAGGACGTTTTTCTTGTATATGTATTTATTCATGCAGTTTGTGAAACTATTCTAATATGTACGCCACAAACTCAGGATCGTTGTCATTTGCTGACAACACAACATCATCTGGGGAGGCATATCTTCATTTTCACACATACTTGTACATACCGTATAGGAACAATCGCTTTATAAAAAGAAATCTGTTGGGCATAAGACAAACATATGAATATGCACCCACGAATTAGAAACTCTTTCAAACAAAGAAACACACCCCGAAATGGGTGTGGAGTAGTTTATAGTTTTCGAACAATCAAGGCCGTCGCTAGAAGCTTAATCGGCAGAGGGGGGGGGGGTGGCATATTCATATATTCGTTTTATGTCCGACTGATTTCTTTTGTTAGCAATTAATTGTTTCTAGGGTTGAAGAGACGCCCCTGCAAACAATAGTTTTCGAAAAATGACGACCTCGCAAAAATTTACTTACCCAATCTTCTTACCAGCAGCTTTAGATTTATGTATTGAGCACTTGAACAGAGAACCTGTGAAACCTTTAGCTTTACAGGCAGCTTTGTGAAATTGGAACTGTAGGACGTAACTGATGAAATATCTAAAATTTATAAAGGTTATTGTTGTTGAACGTTTACTCTTACTTGACTTACTTTGTTAAACTCTGTAAAGTGTCACTTTTGTTAAATTAAAAAGCAGTAAAAAAATATTAATTTCAGTTTGACTTAACGCGAATGACGCCTGATACGCGAATGAAGGAGTGTCAATGGAGTATCTGAAGTTGAAAAAGTGGAGGAGAAGCTTACTTATATGTTGCAGTTGTATTTTTACGTAAACAATGTATAGTTGAGATGCATATTTAGTGTCATAAATTGTTATTAATTTCGCAATACTTGGGAGAGATCCGTTGTCACTTGAAGATTATGTCAGGTTAAACAGAGCTAGAATCTTGGGGATTTATTTTATAAAATTGAACGGAACCTCTCTCAATCTAAAAGCGTCATATCCAAATATCCCAAGGGTTTGGTGCATGGTGGTAAGAATGTTTATCTGCCGAATTATGTGCGGAAAATTTCCATACATTCTCTGCAGGTTGAGCTGAACAGTGTTGAACTTCTCTGACTCGCTAACATATGGCAACTAAGCAACTTCATGCAGGCAGTTCCAGTATGATCTGGTGACTGGTATTGCGTATGTGAATACGAGGCCGGCTTTAGAGGATTTAGGCCTTATGGTTCAGTATGTGCACTTGGTTATGCGGTGTAGATTATGTTATAT